GAATTTGTTTCAACAGTTGAGCTGCTTCTTGTTCCTTATCCAAGTCTTGCAGAACAACTGCGAGCTCAGCCTTGGAGTTTATCGCCTTTGGATTGTCCTGCATGCGCGTTATTCATCATCTGTATGACAACTGTTCATCCTGATTGAAACAGCTTTGCTCAATGGGAATGGTGCCCAGTGCTCACAATTCAAGTTCAACAGCTTGACTCTCGAGCTCATCCGCTGATCAGTTCGTATGCGATCGGGTCCTCCCCGAGCTTCTGTGAGTGCATTTTCGAGACTTCCTTCAACTTTGTCTCCTGCTCAAGTTTTGGCGAAAAAACAAAGGTTCGGACTCAAAATATGAAGTCACTCGCTCATCTCTCCAATTGCGACTCAAAGAAAATCAATCCTACGACATCCTACAACCAATGAAGATGTGCTTTGGAAACCCTGATGCTTTTTGGAAGGATCGTCTTGAACTTGTTCGGCCCTGATGCTTTGTTGCCCAATGTGAAGAAAAGATACAGAATTTGTGTGTCTGGTGCCAGCGTGGATAAGTTCTTCGTTTGGAAATGTTTGGACGCTTTGAAGATGAGACGTCTCTTGACAAAAACATAATATAATACAGTGATTCACAATGTATCATTATGCACATGTTTTGTAAGTACCAGCGCCAGAAGATTCTAAACTCTTAAACCCAATCCCAACTCACGTATCTTCAAACAAATCCTCAAGCTGAGATTTCAGAGTTTGGCTGGAGCGGGCTTTACGGTTGGACACTTGACCAAATGTCTTTCGATGCAAAATTTGCAAGATTATTACAATCTTGGTATGTGCTATTGACATTTTACATCTAGCAGGCAAATGTTGATCAAAAATGATCAAACATGATCAAACTGTATATCAGGCAAGGATCCTTGTCGTTGTGAAGGCAGCCGAGTAAACTCGCAAAGTGGTCGACAGCCCTGTGCATAATTGGGTCGTCCTGGCGTCAAGGAAACTCTGGTTTTCGACAACTGAAAGCATCTAGCAAAGGGCTACGGCTACGGGTTCAATCTTTGGGGTTTTGGGAAGTAGGGCTGGCACGCGCAGGTTTTTCACACCAACCACAAAGTTCATCCTTCAGATTGGTAGACGGAGCTTGGCCAAGACCTTCAAACACTTCCTCCAGCTGTTGCTGTGCTGCGGTGAAATCTTTTTGCTGCTGCAGAACAGCCGCCAGATCGATCTTGGTGCTGAGGGTATCTCTATCCTCCTACGCACAGGTCAAGAAACGGATCTGACAGATAAAGTGCGTTTGACCTGCCGAGAGTTCTTTCCCCAAACAATGCTAATTATTTAAAGATGTCATTCATCGTATTTTTGAAAACTCATGTCCTTGCCAAATCGTTGCTCTTGGATCTCCAGGACTTGCTTCAACTTGTTGCTCTCCCAAAGTGCCTGGTTTGGGGTTTTGTGCAGCCGGCTCTCTTGCATGACAAGTAGTCCCAATGCCTTGCTTTCTGCAAGGCTTTGCGGAGATTTTCCTGCCTTGATCTCGAAAACAAATTTGTTCCACTCTTCTCTGGCCTCCAGTTCGGTGTTGAGATATGTCCAAGATTTCCCAAGCATTTAGTATGAAGCTGAGACAAAATGAGATTTTCTACCCCGAAAGCTCAAGTGATCTCAAGTGACCTTTGTGGGCCAGTTCAACATTCCTACCACAAGAGCTCAACGGGAAAGGATGGGAACGGACAGGAAGAAGAAATTACATAAGACCAAGGATCAGAGAGGGTGACGGACACATGAAAAAAATCGAGCCCGCACTCTGTTGAATGCCGTTGACTGCCTCAGCTGTGCGGCTACTTTGTTGAAGGAAGTTTAGAAGAAAAGTTTGCGACTTACCCACAATCCCAAACCAGGGAACTCACACGAAAAAAAACAACAACGTTCAGAAGAAGTCAGAGTACGTACCTGCTACAGCTAAATTGCCGCCGTCATCGGGGTAGGTATGGAATCCATGTTCAGTGTCCCTTACACGAAAAACCTTTTTTTGCGCCTTGCGAAATTCCCAGGACACCAGTTGGCGTGTCTAAGCACCTGGTCCATCATGTAGGAAGTAGTTTTATCAACGAATACCTGAAGATCCTGAAGCCTGATGAAAATCAAAAATCTTGGAACGCTCCACAGCGTGTCTTCGGGGAAAATGGTCGATCCTCTTACTCAAACTTACTTTCAGGCTGTTGCTTTGCGCCTGAATAATTGCTTGCTCCTGGAACTAAAGAGGTGCATTGTGGCGCCAAAGCTGGCTATTGAGTTGTTCCCTTTGAAGTTTGTCATTTTTTTCCGCATGAAGATGTTTTCTGGAAAAACAGAGATGAACATGCAAAAAGCAAGATCTCAAGCCTCTCATGGCGGGAAATATGGCATTCTGTTTTAAAAGTTGAGGATTGATGTTTACCGACCCACATCTTGCGCCGTCAAGACAATCTAGAAAACTTACCCAACAATTGAATCCTTCCGCCTCGTCTTTGAGTTTCTCTTCCTGGTCTGCCATCACCTTATACACATGTACCCAGCTGACCTGTGCAAGTTATCTGAATCCAAGAAACCTACTGAGCGTCCTAGACCAGGACATGGCCCCTCATCCGTACATCAAGTTTCATGTTGTAACTACGCAGACCCCTTTGCAAAATGAAGTCGTTGTTTACCACTCGGGAAACGGCACTCTGCAGAACTGCCACTGCTTCGTTTGATTGGCAAGCCAATGTCATGGGCGTTAAACCTCACAGGCGATGCGTCAAAACGATGAATCCCTACGACCTTCTCGACCTCAAATCATGAATGATATTGGGCATGATCAGCACAGCACATACAGTAGCACTTTGAAAATGCTATCGACCACATTCATGTACTTTGATATACTTCATGTAAACTTCATGTATCGCTATGCCCTGTTGGTAGAGAACTCTGAGGGTCCAGGCCAGTTACATCTTTGGCCATGAGCGATGCCCTAGCCTCAAGTAGGATCCGCATTATGTTGCTTGGTCCGGAGACCTCGTTGGCGGCCAAGTGTAGGGCTGTCCGGCCTTGGCATACACTGACAGACAACATCCAGGACCCCAAGCAGACATTGCCGCCATGGTGAGCACATGGCAACTCGGTACGCTCCAAAGATTCGGGCTGCTTCTGTCAGTGGCATCCACGGACGCGCGATTCTGCAGGAGCTGCTGAAGACAGTTTTCGTCACCCTTGAGGATGGCATTCTGTAGTTCGGTCCAGCAAGAATAAACATCATTCAAAATAAAAAGGAATGGCACAATATAGAGATTGGGTGCACATCTACTTGCACATCTCATGGCAAGACTCGACCAAATTCAATGGCAATTGCAAAAAACATAACAAGTCAAATTTTGCCAGTCAAGGAGCGGCGCTCTGCAGAACAGCCACCGCTTCCTTGCATTTCGAATCGCAAGCCAAATTCAAGGGAGTGAAACCTTAGCGGCAAGTTTGACATCAAACGCCAGAACTGCGCGAGTTTACAGGAGACCTCAAACCTTTCCAAATCAATATGACAAGGCTGTGTCTATATACGTAATTACTGAAATTGAAAGCTCTCAGACTGAATCTACTCTCCAATGGGAATTCAGTTGGATCCGAGGGCTCAGATCATACACATTCACATATTCAATGTGAAGAGCTCTGAGGCTCCGGGCCGCTGAGGTCTTCAGCCTCAGTCCTGGCTCTGGCCTCCAGCAGTAGTTCGATGATTTTGACCGGTTCCGAGAGCTCACTGGCGGCCAAGTGTAGTGGTGTCCGGCCTCAGCGCTGCCGGAAAGCCTAAGAAAATAACACAAAAAGGTGCTGATGTGCCCTTCTCAACTGTCACTGGATTGGATCATGGAAGCTTTGAATTTCACTTCTCAAGAACAACACCTTGCAATTCTGTTCGCTCTAAGTTTCGGACCACTTCTATCCGTGGCATCAACAAACGCGTGATTTTTCAGGAGCTGCTGGACGTAGTCTTTGTCACCGCTGCACACGGCATTGTGCAGCTCCGTCCGGCCTAGGTGACAAAGGTGACAAAGGTGACAAAGGTGACAAAGGTGACAAAGGTGACAAAGGTGACAAAGGTGACAAAGGTGACAAAGGTGACAAAGGTGACAAACGTTCATACACATTGCTTCAAATCAAATTGAACTATGCCATGTTGTCAGGGTACAAAAGACATGTGTCGTGATATCTTCAGGGAACTCCATGAGTTTTCATGTTTTTTTCAGATTCGATTTGACATGAGCTGTACCAGGAAGAAGCAGCAACCGCTGAGCTTGACAGATGGAGACGGGAGAAGTGGTAATCATTACTACACTGTGACCCGGACAAATACATCCAGCTATTCGCCTCAACTTTGAGCCCGCTGCCCAACCTGTTCTTCTTCTCGACAGCTTTGCCCTCATCTGTGGTGTCTTGGCCTTGGCATGACCAAGGCAGAGTGGCTCCCAAAGGATTCCTGAGAGGATTCCATGCGCATCTGGCGTAAAACAAATGCTAAGCGCCAAGCTCTCAGAGGATGCTGTGGCGGCCTGGTCGACAGGAAGGTGCATTCGAAAAAGGTTCACAGCCAGCGGATGGAAATATTCAAAATAGAATGGAGGTCATATTCAAGCATGAAAAAGATATAAAAGATCCTATTTGGTCAAAGTTTCTTTGCATGCCATGTTTGCTAGACATGAACAGGACATCAAAAACAATATTTGTTTGGACAGATATGGTGGTGCCTGTTGACATAGCATCTGTGGTTGCTTGTTGATGCATTCCTGTGGAGGTTTATCGTGAAGAAAAACAAACAGGAATGCCATCCTACCGGTTGCGTGGTTGTCAAACCAATCAAGGGGCCCAGGATGGCAATCATATCTGCCTCAATTATCCTCAGCCGTTAGATCGGCCTCCGGCCGTTCCTTTAAAGTCCTCCGGGCTTCTAGGTCATCAAGCACAGCCCGAACTAGCTCCTGCAGGGACAACATACATGAACCAGTCGAAAACAATGAACCAACACTGTCAACACTGATTTGACAGGTGATGGAACTGAAGGAAACTTTGAAATTATGGATGCTGTTTCAAGGCATTTCAAGTCCATGTTTGGAATTCTTATGAAAGGTACAATAAGTGTCGACTTGTCCCATATTCACCGACTACACATGCGCAATGGCACGAAAAGTCAAAAACGCTGCTAACCCGGCCTATGAACCGGAATTTGTGTTTCACGAGAACACAATTGTACAACATGCGAATCTGCATTCGGCCCACCTCAGCTTTTGCGTTTGCAAGTGTATACGCTGCAAATTCTTCCAGCAGTCTTTTGACCTCGTCCTGCGCAGTATGGAATGTACTTGACGGCCACCCTGCTCTGACACCGTGATGGATGTAGATTGCCCGCTTTTCGATGAAGGGGCTGGCAATGAAGAGTCTGGCAAAGATATCAAAACCGAAACATGGATAGAAATGGATAGAAATGGCACATAAAGGGCTTTCAGGTCAAACCCTGCTCCTTTGAGAATCATGGGTCTGCACCGTCCAAAAACGCAACCATGTCGTGCCATGCCATTGCATGTTGGGTCCTGTTCCCGACTTGCATCTGAAAGCTGGCTTTCGACAGTTTTCAGCTTCTCCTTCGGGAAACTGTGAGCCATGGTGGGTGAGGGATTCACTGAGTTTACAGCAAAAAGGCACAAAAGGTACAGTACCCGGTGAAGGTCCACATGGTCCAAGCCAAGTTCAATTATTAATGCATGCAGGGTGCATCCAAGCAAAGACCCCACAAATATGCAGTTGTGTGCTGACAAATGAAGGGTAGCACAATTGTTGTCATGCCAATGATGCAATCCAGGGAGTCACAGAAAACGGGACTGGAATATGAGACTGAACTCGCCATCTTTGACTTTTGTTTCTATATTATACCATATCCGCCGACCCCGGCAGACGCAAGGGGGAGCGCGCCAGGGAATAATACTTTTGACTCTTGTTTCGGACTACTACCCAGCAGCAGCAGCAGCAGCAGCAGCAGTAGCATCAGCAGACGCCAGCATCACCAGCAGCAGCAGCAGCAGCAGGAGCAACAGGAGGGTTCTATGTCTCATTGCACAAACAGTGGTATAAAAATTGTTTCGGACTACTACCGCAGCAGGCGCAGCAGCAGCAGCAGGAGAAGTAAAGCAAAGACAAGCAAGTTTAGCCGCACCAGCAGCAGGAGCAGCAGCAGCAGCAGCTAGCAGCCAGCTAGGAGCAGTCAGCAGCTCTTAAAAAGGTGGCAGCAGCAGCAGCAGCAGCAGCCAGCAGCTTGTTACGTTAGGCATTTTCGGGGTGCAATTTTGGGGCTTCTCCGTGCGTCACTGCCATGGTGTTTTCCCATCTGGGGACCAGCAGCAGCAGCAGCAGCAAAAGCCTCTGCTGCAGCAGGAGGAAAAGGTAGCCAAAATTCATAGCAGCAGCAAGAGGAAAAAGTAGCCAAAATCATCATTTTCTGTGGGTTTCAGAAGTTACGTTAGGCATTTTCGGGGTGCAATTTTGGGGCTTCTCCGTCCTTCACTGCCATGGTGTTTTCCCATCGGGGGATCAGCAGCAGCAGCAGCAAAAGCCTCTGCAGCAGCAGGAGGAAAAGGCAGCCAAACTTCATATTCATAGCAGCAGCAAGTGGAAAAAGCAGCCAAAATCATCATTTTCTATGGGTTTCAGAAGTTACGTTAGGCATTTTCGGGGTGCAATTTTGGGGCTTCTCCGTCCTTCACTGCCATGGTGTTTTCCCATCCGGGGACCAGCAGCAGCAGCAGCAAAAGCCTCTGCAGCAGCAGGAGGAAAAGGTAGCCAAAATTCATAGCAGCAGCAAGAGGAAAAAGGTGCCAAAATCATCATTTTCTATGGGTTGCAGAAGTTACGTTAGGCATTTTCGGGGTGCAATTTTGGGGCTTCTCCGTCCTTCACTGCCATGGTGTTTTCCCATCCGGGGACCAGCAGCAGCAGCAGCAAAAGCCTCTGCAGCAGCAGGAGGAAAAGGTAGCCAAAATCATCATTTTCTATGGGTTTCAGAAGTTACGTTAGGCATTTTCGGGGTGCAATTTTGGGGGTTTCTCCGTCCTTCACTGCCATGGTGTTTTCCCATCCAGCACCAGCAAAAGCCTCTGCAGCAGCAGGAGGAAAAGGCAGCCAAACTTCATATTCATAGCAAGAGCAAGAAGAAAAAGCAGCCAAAATCATCATTTTCTATGGGTTTCAGAAGTTACGTTAGGCATTTTCGGGGTGCAATTTTGGGGCTTCTCCGTCCTTCACTGCCATGGTGTTTTCCCATCCGGGGACCAGCAGCAGCAGCAGCAAAAGCCTCTGCAGCAGCAGGAGGAAAAAGCAGCCAAAATGCAGCCGCAGCAGTAAGAGCAGCGGCAGCAGCTAGCAGCAAGCTAGGAGCAGCCAGCAGGAGCAGCGGCAGCAGCTAGCAGCCAGCTAGGAGCAGCCAGCAGCTCTTAAAAAGGTGGCAGCAGCAGCAGCAGCAGCAGCCAGCAGCAGCTTGTTACGTTAGGCATTTTCGGGGTGCAATTTTGGGGCTTCTCCGTGCGTCACTGCCATGGTGTTTTCCCATCTGGGGACCAGCAGCAGCAGCAGCAGCAAAAGCCTCTGCTGCAGCAGGAGGAAAAGGTAGCCAAAATTCATAGCAGCAGCAAGAGGAAAAAGTAGCCAAAATCATCATTTTCTGTGGGTTTCAGAAGTTACGTTAGGCATTTTCGGGGTGCAATTTTGGGGCTTCTCCGTCCTTCACTGCCATGGTGTTTTCCCATCCGGGGACCAGCAGCAGCAGCAGCAGCAGCAGCAAAAGCCTCTGCAGCAGCAGGAGGAAAAGGCAGCCAAACTTCATATTCATAGCAGCAGCAAGTGGAAAAAGCAGCCAAAATCATCATTTTCTATGGGTTTCAGAAGTTACGTTAGGCATTTTCGGGGTGCAATTTTGGGGCTTCTCCGCCCGTCACTGCCATGGTGTTTTCCCATCCGGGGACCAGCAGCAGCAGCAGCAAAAGCCTCTGCTGCAGCAGGAGGAAAAGGTAGCCAAAATTCATAGCAGCAGCCAAAATCATCATTTTCTATGGGTTTCAGAAGTTACGTTAGGCATTTTCGGGGTGCAATTTTGGGGCTTCTCCGTCCTTCACTGCCATGGTGTTTTCCCACCCGGGGGACAGCAGCAGCACCAGCAAAAGCCTCTGCAGCAGCAGGAGGAAAAGGCAGCCAAACTTCATATTCATAGCAAGAGCAAGAAGAAAAAGCAGCCAAAATCATCATTTTCTATGGGTTTCAGAAGTTACGTTAGGCATTTTCGGGGTGCAATTTTGGGGCTTCTCCGTCCTTCACTGCCATGGTGTTTTCCCATCCGGGGACCAGCAGCAGCAGCAGCAAAAGCCTCTGCAGCAGCAGGAGGAAAGGGTAGCCAAGATTCATAGCAGCAGCAAGAGGAAAAAGCAGCCAAAATGCAGCCGCAGCAGTAAGAGCAGCGGCAGCAGCTAGCAGCAAGCTAGGAGCAGCCAGCAGGAGCAGCGGCAGCAGCTAGCAGCCAGCTAGGAGCAGTCAGCAGCTCTTAAAAAGGTGGCAGCAGCAGCAGCAGCAGCAGCAGCAGCCAGCAGCTGCCAGCAGCTTGTTACGTTAGGCATTTTCGGGGTGCAATTTTGGGGCTTCTCCGTGCGTCACTGCCATGGTGTTTTCCCATCTGGGGACCAGCAGCAGCAGCAGCAGCAAAAGCCTCTGCTGCAGCAGGAGGAAAAGGTAGCCAAAATTCATAGCAGCAGCAAGAGGAAAAAGTAGCCAAAATCATCATTTTCTGTGGGTTTCAGAAGTTACGTTAGGCATTTTCGGGGTGCAATTTTGGGGCTTCTCCGTCCTTCACTGCCATGGTGTTTTCCCATCGGGGGATCAGCAGCAGCAGCAGCAAAAGCCTCTGCAGCAGCAGGAGGAAAAGGCAGCCAAACTTCATATTCATAGCAGCAGCAAGTGGAAAAAGCAGCCAAAATCATCATTTTCTATGGGTTTCAGAAGTTACGTTAGGCATTTTCGGGGTGCAATTTTGGGGCTTCTCCGTCCTTCACTGCCATGGTGTTTTCCCATCCGGGGACCAGCAGCAGCAGCAGCAAAAGCCTCTGCAGCAGCAGGAGGAAAAGGTAGCCAAAATTCATAGCAGCAGCAAGAGGAAAAAGGTGCCAAAATCATCATTTTCTATGGGTTGCAGAAGTTACGTTAGGCATTTTCGGGGTGCAATTTTGGGGCTTCTCCGTCCTTCACTGCCATGGTGTTTTCCCATCCGGGGACCAGCAGCAGCAGCAGCAGCAAAAGCCTCTGCAGCAGCAGGAGGAAAAGGTAGCCAAAATCATCATTTTCTATGGGTTTCAGAAGTTACGTTAGGCATTTTCGGGGTGCAATTTTGGGGGTTTCTCCGTCCTTCACTGCCATGGTGTTTTCCCATCCAGCACCAGCAAAAGCCTCTGCAGCAGCAGGAGGAAAAGGCAGCCAAACTTCATATTCATAGCAAGAGCAAGAAGAAAAAGCAGCCAAAATCATCATTTTCTATGGGTTTCAGAAGTTACGTTAGGCATTTTCGGGGTGCAATTTTGGGGCTTCTCCGTCCTTCACTGACATGGTGTTTTCCCATCCGGGGACCAGCAGCAGCAGCAGCAAAAGCCTCTGCAGCAGCAAGAGGAAAAAGCAGCCAAAATGCAGCCGCAGCAGTAAGAGCAGCGGCAGCAGCTAGCAGCAAGCTAGGAGCAGCCAGCAGGAGCAGCGGCAGCAGCTAGCAGCCAGCTAGGAGCAGTCAGCAGCTCTTAAAAAGGTGGCAGCAGCAGCAGCAGCAGCAGCAGCAGCCAGCAGCTGCCAGCAGCTTGTTACGTTAGGCATTTTCGGGGTGCAATTTTGGGGCTTCTCCGTGCGTCACTGCCATGGTGTTTTCCCATCTGGGGACCAGCAGCAGCAGCAGCAGCAAAAGCCTCTGCTGCAGCAGGAGGAAAAGGTAGCCAAAATTCATAGCAGCAGCAAGAGGAAAAAGGAGCCAAATCATCATTTTATGGGTTTCAGAAGTTACGTTAGCATTTTCGGGGTGCAATTTTGGGGCTTCTCCGTCCTTCACTGCCATGGTGTTTTCCCATCCGGGGACCACAGCAGCAGCAGCAGCAAAAGCCTCTGCAGCAGCAGGAGGAAAAGGCAGCCAAAATTCATATTCATAGCAGCACAAGAGGAAAGAGCAGCCAAAACCATCATTTTCTATGGGTTTCAGAAGTTACGTTAGCATTTTCGGGGTGCAATTTTGGGGCTTCTCCGTTCTTCACTGCCATGGTGTTTTCCCATCCGGGGACCAGCAGCAGCAGCAGCAGCAAAAGCCTCTGCAGCAGCAGGAGGAAAAGGTAGCCAAAATTCATAGCAGCAGCAAGAGGAAAAAGTAGCCAAAATCATCATTTTCTATGGGTTTCAGAAGTTACGTTAGGCATTTTCAGGGGCAATTTTGGGGCTTCTCCGTCCTTCACTGCCATGGTGTTTTCCCATCCGGGGACCAGCAGCAGCAGCAGCAAAAGCTTCTGCAGCAGCAGGAGGAAATGAAAAGGTAGCCAAAATCATCATTTTCTATTGGGTTTCAGAAGTTATGTTAGGCATT